ATTATTTCGAAAGAGCTTATGTTTTATAAACTATATAACTTGTTATTAATTTGGTGTTAAGAGATAAGCGGGGTTTTTTTCTGGTAACGAACTGCCACGAAGTATAAATCAAGATTTTTTACTTTTGTGTTGAATGTGTGTTTAATATATTTACCACTAATGACAAAAAATTAACTTTTCTGCAAAATTCACCAACTACACAATTCTTGTTAGTATAAAATAAGTGGTATTTCAAAAGAGCAGAAGAAATATATGTTTTGAACAATAAGAATTTTTGTTGCTAATCTGTTAATCGGTTGCTAGGAGATGATCGCGTTTTCTGGTAACCAAGTTCCACAAAGTAAACATCTGATTTTCACTTTTGCAAAATGTACCAACGGTAAATTTCTTGTATCTAAGCTAATAAGCATTATTTTTGAAAGAGCTTATGTTTTATAAACAATACTACTTATTAATAATTTGGTGTTAAGAGATAAGCGGGGTTTTTTGTGGTAACGAACTGCCACGAAGTATAAATCAAGATTTTTACTTTTGTGTTGAATGTCTGTTTAATATATTTGCCACTAATGACAAAAAGAGTAACTTTTCTACAAAATTCACCAACTGAACAATTCTTGTTAGTGTAAAATAAGTGGCATTTCAAAAGAGCAGAAGAAATATATGTTTTGAACAATAAGAATTTTTGTTGCTAATCTGTTAATCGGTTGCTAGGAGATGATCGCGTTTTCTGGTAACCAAGTTCCACAAAGTAAACATCTGATTTTCACTTTTGCAAAATGAACCAACGGTAAATTTCTTGTATCTAAGCTAATAAGCATTATTTTTGAAAGAGCTTATGTTTTATAAACAAATATTACTTGTCATTAATTTGGTGTTAAGAGATAAGCAGGTTTTTTTCTGGTAACGAACAGCAGTTCGTAGCAACGAAGTATAAATCGAGATTTTTATTTTTCTGTTGAATTTGTGTTTTTTAATATATCTACTACTAATGACAAAAAGAACTAACTTTTCTGCAAAATTCACCAACTACACAATTCTTAACAAGTATAAAATAAGTGGTATTTCAAAAGAGCAGAAGAAATCTTATGTTTTTTGAACAATAACAATTTTTGTTGCTAATCTGTTGCTAAGAGATGAGTGTGTTTACTGGTAACCAAGTGCCACGAAGTGAACTTAAGTTTTTTACTTTTGCAAAAGTAAGAATCAGAAAGCAGGGCACAAACATTATCACAAACATTTCTAATGTAACTACTGCCCACATTAACAGTAGCCTTTTTCCTAAAATAAGCTTTTTAGCTATTTTGTTTATTTTTATTTATTTACCATGTTTAGCACACTGAATGGAGTAGGTCAATGTAAGACAACATGCTAGTTATAGCCCACATGCCCCTGGCTGCATTTAGGCTAATATTACCATTGTTAGATCTTGATATTCCCTAATGTTTTGTGATACCAAGTATAGGCTACAGAACAAAGACAGAAATATTTACAGAAAGAGATGTTTAAGCAGAATCATTGCAAAGGCAGAAATGAGAAGAAGAAAAAACACCATTTATCTTAAACTCTTAAGAACTGGCTTTAACTCTTTTGAGTTAAAGGAATTCTGTTAAAAAGCAGAAACACCCACTTTAAAAGCAGCCCTAAAATGTTCCTTTCTGAGAGCACCCTATGTGTCATCTGATATTGTTCGGACAGGTTCCGATCTGATATCACTTGCCTTGTTAAATTTTCTGTTCCCAAGTTCTCTGACGAGACCCAGAAATTTGATAACGAGTCCGATTTCCAAGTTTTAAAATGTTATCAGAAAGGTAGAAAGTTTGCAAATTATTTTCCTTACACTTTACAGTTATGCAGCACTTTGTGTTGATCTGTAGTAATCATCTTTGTTGTAAAATATCTTGGAATTTGTGGCGGCAGCATTGCAAATGCTAGAAATAGTTATGGGATGTGAGCACTTCTGCACATCATGGTGCTTGTTAGAGCATAACATAACATAAACATATTGTATGTTTATGCTATTTCCCTCAGTTACTCAACATATACTGTTACAGAAACTCACAGTTTCAGTGTTGGGGTCACATTTTATTTGGGAAATGTTTGATAGTTGTGCACATAAGAAAAAAAAAAGTAGTTTACTGCAAGGTGAAACACTAGTTAAAATCAAACCTACTTGGAGATACTCAGACAATGTGTGTGTATATATATATATATATATATATATATATATATATATATATATATTTATTCATATTTATATAAATTCCCTTCTCACCCTCCGTGGGTGGTCTCTTTCATCCTCTGAGCTCGGGTCCTGTACCAGAAGCCTGGGAGCTTGAGGGTTCTGCGCAGTATCTTAGCTGTGCCTAGAACCTGACATTTCCAGACTGAGATGTCTGATGTTGTTGGGATGTGTTTTAGCCACTGCTCCAGTTTGGGGGTGACTGCCCCGAGGGCCCCGATGACCACAGGCACTACCACAGGTCCCTGCGCTCCTCGACCCTGTAGACACAGGGTGAATCCTAGCAACCTGCGGCCTCTTTGCCGAGAGCACCGGACGCCAGCTGATGGTGTAGACCCGTCGATTTCTGCTAGGATCGGTTTGGTAAATGCCAGGTCGCTGACAAATAAAACTTTCGTCATTAGGGATTTCTTTTCCTCTCATTGATTGGATGTTTTATTAACACAATCATGGACAAGTGGTTTGGGTGACTCCAGCATTTTTAATGAACTTGTACCGCGGAACTGCGGCTATTTTAATGCTCCAAGGATGTCGGGGTCCGGTGGAGGTATAGCGACTGTAGGATTCCATTTTGGAATCCTAAAGACTTTTATCGGAAATAAAGGCCCCTCTTAGAGGCTTAAGAGGCAGAGTGACCACAAAGTTGATTTGTTGGATTCTGTGAAGACGTTTGCAGGCTAAAGAGGATATCCCACCCAATTCTAGAAGAATGGGTCTAAGTGGCTCCAGCACGCAACCTCCACCTCAGGGTGAATTGTTTGGAATTAAATGCTGAACATAAATCTTTTGTTGACAAATTACATATGTTTAATTTTTCTTTTGTTTGTTTGAACAAATAAATGTAAAAAAAAAATACTTAAAAGGATCAATCAATTAATTAATTTTATTTATAAGGGACCCTTTCATGCTAAAAGCAGCTCTAAGTATCATGAAGTTGAGGTGAGGTGAAGAGAGAAAACGCAGACGAAGCCCAGGGTGTAGATGAATGAAGATGAATATTTAATGATGAGAAGCTCACAACAGTCCAGGAACTGGCAGCACGGCAGAAACGGAGGCTAAGCTCATACCGGTAGCAACAGAGCAGCTGGAATTTGTCACAGAATAGAGCTAACGTCGACTCAGGACAAACAGTCCTGAGTCCTGACAACGACTAATTGTACAGACTCTCAGGACTTAACAGTCCAACTGAGTAGACTGACTAAAAGTCAACAACGAACGACATACGACAAGTATCTGACAAAGAACAGGGACAACAGGTGGGCTTAAATACACAGAGGGCAATTAGGGAGACTAGACACACCTCGGAACAATCAAGACGGCACAGAGACTCACAGGGGAAAACAGATCCAGACACAGAAAAACCTCCACAAACAGGAGCCATAATACTGGATGGATAATAAATGACTAAACTATATGATCACGTAAAAGGTTAAAATAAGATTCATAAATATAAATGTATATGTATAGAAAACAACAAGGAAAATGACCAAACAAACCCTAATCTCTTTCTATTTGCTCTTTCTCTTTCCCTCTGTCTGAGCCTCGCGGTGCATCTGACCTCTGACCTCAACTCCTCAAACCTGTCCTCCCATGGACCAGATGATGTCCCTCCTACAAAACCAGCCAATGAAAATGATGGAGAAGATCTGGAGGATCAAGAAGACAAAAAAGACCTCCATCACCTGCAGGGGACAACTGTCGGTCTCCTGTTGGGCATTTGGACTGAAAACTGTGTGAGACTGAGCTTTAACAACCTCCACTGGTCTGCTGTCTAATATCAGCGTAGAGGAAGAAAAGCTAAACATGCTTCGGAGCTGTGAGAGAAGACGACTGAACTGTTGACGCTTGTTTCATCTGTGGACAACATGGACATTTCCTGAGGGACGATCTGGACAACCCAAAGATCCAACGCCAAAATCAGTTGGACTGACAGGAAGCCGGAGGAGACGGGGGAGGATTTCGCTGCAGCAACGCCAAGACCAAGTGGGGGAGAGGGGCGAAAAGGAAGGAACAACCTGAATCCACATCAACCACTGTGAAGGACCACCTGTCTGTAATGTCCATCTAGATCACGACTTTAAATCTGAAACAGCAACAGAGTGAGCAGCAAAACTTCACTCTACCAAGTATCAAGTACTTCAACGTTT